TATATATATATATATATATATATATATATATATANGAGAGAGAGAGAGAGAGAGAGAGAGAGAGAGAGAGAGAGAGATTGTGTTGGTCCCACCCAGAGAAATGCATAATCCAACTGCATCTGGGCGCAGGGCAGCAGGCAAGGAAGGTCGTTTGTGTTTTGTCCCACCACGGGCTACCCAACCAAGGGCTTGGGCTGAGTGGATCTCATACATAAGGACGGGGGAACAAAAGATGTCTGGTACCTATAGGCCCATCTGCAGAAATGTTCCAGTTTAGGGAACGAACTCAGTAAGTTGTGAACAACTACATGAGGGAAACAAAACATCGACAGGTATTGTTAGGGCCATTTGCGAAAGACTTTGCGAAGCGCCCAGAAATGTAGAGGCATATAGACAAGTTGCGTAGGACCTGGTAGGGGTATATGTAAAAGATGATGGGTCTAATTAGCGAGTGGTTATTTCACGAAGTTCACAACCTATAGGATTGTGTTTATACCCTTGGGGCGTGTCGTTCGTTATACCGATAATTCCCTTTAGCCCAAATTGGTTGTTGGATGAGTGTTAAAATTGCAGGTAGGGCCTTCTAGGAGGGCGGGAAGTCTTTGCAGGCGCAAGACCGATATTGGCCGCAATCCTAGAAAAACAAAAGTTGTGTGCGCCCCCTCTGGGCCTGAAACTTAAAAGTTACTCCACTTTTCTCGAATAGAAGGGCACTTCAAATCAATGGGTAGAGCACTGGATGAAAATGCGCATAGTGGCTTGAGGTTGTGCATTCAAAACCCTGCAGCCTCGTGCACGTACACCGGCGGGCATTGACTAGCGCACAGTTGTACACGCTAATCCCATGGGCTGGTGCACGATAAGGATTACATACACTGCCTGCACCGCCCAAGGGATTTAGTCCAGGATTGTTGTATGTCAGGGTTGTACTATAAGTGAGTTGCTTGAAGACGTTGGTCATAGGTTGTTTTCATGATTTCCCCAGTTTGGCATATCGCACATTGGTACTGTTTGAGACCGTATCAAAGATGGTTGAGCATAATTGTTACATGATGATGAGCATAGGTTCAAGTCTAGTTTAGGACTCTATGGGGGGGTTCTCGCACAAATAGGTCTATTATAAACGACACTGCAAAACACTTACACAACTACAGTTTACGGGCACATCACATGGCCTACAAACACACACATAGCTTACAGGCACACACACACACAACCTACGGGCACACATACATGGCCTACGACCACATACACAGCCTACGGCCATATACGCAACCTACGGCCAGACATACATAAGTACAATGTCAGGTCGGGGCACCCGATCTCTGCTAGGGGTGTCATATACTTGATCTGGGCTTAGGGTGGACTATCAGATATGGTAAGTGATATGCTTGTAGGATTAGGATAGTCAATCGAAACACTGCTTGTGCCTGGCGTCCGACATACCCAGGGGAAAAGACCCATTCGATTTTGGGTTTTGGGGGTCAAAACCCAATACTCAAAACCCAAAACCCAAAATCTTCAACCGAGGTTGGGTAGGGTGTGAACTGCAATAGTATTGTTGTCATCGCTGGGTGACCTCCTGGGAAGCTTCCCTTTCCGTGTTTGTTTACCTAGCTTGGTGCCTAAAACCGTTGTCTGGTCCAAATCACCCTCTCAGATGGTAAGGTCTGAGTGATTAACACTAAGGTAGGATAGTGGGAATGAGGGGTGCGCCAGATACGTGACAATAGGATGGGTAGGGTGGCGATCTCACAAAAAATGATAAGGATAACCAATGATTGACTAAACTACCGTAGTCTGGAATCTGACCTTTATAACAACATGGGCTTTATACAAAAAAGAAGAACAACAAAACTCTGTGTCGGCGCCATGTATACAAACTTCGCCCACTTCCCACTATCCCCATGCCATCTTCACCTCTCTCTTCTTCGCACCTTCTTTCCTCCATTTGTAACTGTTTTCCATCCCCTCTCCCTCCGCTTTTCTATCCCACTCCTTTTTCATCTGAATCTTGGTCTCGCTCTTCACGCTCTGCTTCTTCTTGCCTTCACCCCTGTACATGAACTCCTTACCGATCCCCCCCCATCAGGGTATTCGAGCTTTCAGGCGACATCATGTATGGAGGATACTCCCTTTATGCGGTGATCTGATTGGCTGCGAAAGAACTCATGGGGATCGATATGGCTTTTCTCGGACAATTAACCCGAACTCTCTCTTCACACCCTCCTACCTCCGCCCTGTTCGCTCCCACATCCTATCTCCCTCTTCACAAATATAAAATCCGCAAGCGCATCTGAAAATTTTTCTCTGAACCCATCTACCAACTTTCGGGAAGTCGTGGCTCGATGATGTGTACGTACACCAAGTCAAAAAGTCCAAACGAGTTGATTGTAGTTTTGCAAGGTTGTGCACCGGTGGCCACAACGGACTGTGGGATCTGGGCAAGTCGATCTGAAAGCTAAGTTGGCGGGGTGACGATCGTTGTGGTGTGGAGGTTCATATGTGGTGGTCGGGATCGCCAATACTGGGCAAGGAAGGTGAATGTGTACAAGTGGTTGCATGGCCTTGGGCCATAGTCAGAGAGCAGAAGGCTTCCACGCTTCGATCTTCGGTTCCTCTTCTTATATTGGAAGTTAAGTTAACAACAAATTACCGGTTTTTTTGTTCTCGGATCTATTTGTGTGATCCTAACTCATTTTTTCTCTTTAGTCCTCTTCTTCAATCAAGCGACAACTATGCCCCTGTCTCTTATACACATCTAGATGTGTATAAGAGACAGGTGCTCTCACTCTCTCCCTCTCTCTCCTCTCCCTCGGCTCACCCTCAGCCTCACGCTCATTACATGAACAATGTGTCCGGGCGAGGAGGACAGGTATTCCAGACCACTTCCTCGAGGGTAGGGTGTCACGTAACTAAGAGTAGTCGCTTTCTCATGCTTTCAAGTAAAGGGGAGGCTGAATTTAGTACCCTTTTGGGTGGCCGTCTTAGGAGCCACCAACGTATGTGGAACTGGCGCCAGAAGAAGCCCAGTTCATGTTTTAATTAGTGTTAAAAGAGGTGCAAGTAGGCACTACTCTCGCGGTAGAACCGTGACACAAGAATCACGGTCCGGGACGAGAATGAAAACTGAGTATAGAAATTGGTATATTTAAACTTGACTGGACAAAGTTACTATTTTGTCTGCCAGATGTCCGCAGGAGCAGTAATCCTTCGATTGTTCAGCACGCGGGAGGCGGCGACGAATTGGATAACAGTGCCGACACGATCACGTGTTGGTATGATACGGAAAGGAAAATTGGTTCACAATCCACATGAAATTGTTTTGGAAAGGGATGAGCCGCAATTTTGGGATGGAAGCGTGAGGAACCCACCGCGGAGTTATATTTTCTTGATTGAGCAAGAACAATATATCGTACGGTATGAATTTGCGCCTCCTAAATTCCTAATCCATCTCGAGATTACGGAGACATGAATCTCGTCGTCATCTATGAAGTAAATTTTGTTAGAGAAGACATTCCTGAGATTAGAGGAATGTTTCTCTATATTATATTATGGTTGAACGATCAGCAAGGACCTTTCAGCCTCCTTCATCATGTGAGACGGGTGCGAGCGAATAGGTTTAATATTTTTCACTCTGAACGTTTTGACGTCACCGCGGTCAATGATGAGGCATGTGAGATTTGGGAACGTCTTTTCTAACTGGCAGCTCTTTCGGATGTGCAGATGACTAGCGGACGGCAGGATCTTACTCGGGCCAGGTATATGCTGATTCACAACCCTATGGACGAGGAGCTGATTTGGCGTATGGAAAAACTTTTATTTGCACAAGACGGTGTATCCACTCGATGTGTTGGTTTTGTTTGGTTGCTTGGAGATAGACGAGGATTTTTTCCTGACTCTCGTGAGGATGTCCGTGCCAATGTGGCCCGACTCCTGGAAGAATGTCATGGATATACTTTGTATTTCCATCGCGCGAGTAACCTCCGATGCCTTTCTCGGGTTATTGTGAGCGTTAAAATTACCCTGTCCGGGGAGCGCTACGGCGTCATTCGGATTAAGGACACCACGAGTAGGTACCTCTTTAGGATGCGACAGCCGTTTCGCACCATAGTTTGAAGGCTCACCTCACAGATAGCTTCCCTCTATGGTACGTGGAAGGTTCAAGTCATGTGAGGTGGACGCACTACCACCTTGACTTTTGATGACGAGGAGCTTGCACGACTCGACCAGATTGAGGTTGAGGCCCTCGAGGGTCGACAACTCTATCACGGCTAGACGCGTCTTTACGAGTCTGGCGCCGTGTTGAGTTGTCCTTATAAAGTTGTCCTTATAATAGAGTCACGTTTATATGACTTTATGAGGAATATATATATATATATATATATATATATATATATATATATATATATATATATATATATATATATATATATATATATATATATATATATATANTCTCTCTCTCTCTCTCTCTCTCTCTCTCTCTCTCTCTCTCTCTCTCTCTCTCTCTCTCTTTCTCTTTTAATATTTTCTTCACCAATGATTGGATGTTCTGACGACTCCATCGTCCCTACCAGCTCCTAAGGTCATGTCTCGCTTATCTCATTGCATTCATTCGGATCTCTCAAGAACGAGTATCGCTGAATTCAAAGAGACCAGCAAGCTCAAGTGATCTCATCCCGTGCCTCTCTTTGCTCCTTAGTATCCGATGGTTTATGCATGAGCGATCTCTTGCATGCATGCATTGATTGAGTGGCATGCTATTTCTTTCTCCCACGGCTATAGTCATTTCTCACTAAATCGAAACCACACGGCGGATTTCAGTTTCGTTTGTATCCCCACACTCAATTTTCCAAAATTCCTTGACACATCCCATTTTGTTGTTCTTTCAGGGTGTCTGCCGTATATTTTTATCACTCCAACCAGAAGATATCAACTTGAAGGGGCGTGAGGTTGGTATCGAAGCCGACATGTATCGTTTCTGGTAATAAGTGAGACGAGTTGGCGAGAGGACGAATACGAGCTCGAACGGATCGAAAAAAGTCCTCTCGTCACTCGAAGCAAGTCAGTGGAGGCAAGAGAAGAGGCAGCCATGGCTAACACTAATGCGCCTGCCCCTCGAGTAATGGTAAGCATCACAACCACCTTTCCATTCTATCCTAATCACACGCATCCCAGGGCATGGAGAGAAGGTTAACAACAGTCGCATTTTTCATCACCACTTCAGGACACCCTTCACCACTTCAGAATGCAGCCTGCCTAAACAGGTGGTTTTCAGGGTCTTCAGACCTTTCACCACTTCAGGACCTTTCAGGTCTGAAAATCTTGAATGGTCCTGAGGTGGTGAAAGCTCCGAAGACCTTGAAAACCATATGTTTAGGCAGGCTGCATCCTCAAGTGATAAAGGGTGGTTTTCATGGTCTTCGGACCTTTCACCACTTCAGGATCATTCGGGATTTTCAGACTGCCAAAAACTCTCACTTGACCACTTCATGACACCCTTCACCACTTCATGATGCAGCCTGCCTAAACAAGTGGTTTTCAGGGTCTTCGGACCTTTCACCACTTCAGGACCATTCAGGATTTTCAAACTGCCAAAAATTTTCACTTCATAATTTTCATTCCTGAATTTTCAGCTATCCGATAACCGCTTGTGAGGGCATGGCTCGAAGTCGTGGAGGTCCATCTATGAATAGGCCGATCTTCCTCGATTCATCAACTTGCTTGTAAGAAACACCACTCACGATTAGTTTAAATGTCGTAGATGGGAAGATTGGGCTACGTTAAAAAAAACCTTCTTAACAAGATTCTAAGATGTGGGCAAAGACGCTGCCTGGTTTATGTTGAAAACACGCCCTCAAGAACCAGGAGAGTTGTTGCCCGACTTTGTGGATAGATTTCAAACAGCCTTAGAGAAGTCTAGACGAGAAGAAAACGTCACTCGAGACTGATCCGTATATCATCTTCGCAATACTGTCTTAAAAACAAAACTGAAAATGAAAGTTTCTCCCAAAACGACTCAGTTATCGGCGGTCATTACCAAGGCACTTTAGTTGAATTTGAAAGATACCCGCAAATACATAGATTTAGGGTGAGGAAGATATAGCTGATACGATAGAAGATATGACTGCAAAGCAGCGATCTTGGCTAATATCAATTGGGCAGTTTTATCACCGCCACGATTCTAAAAACCTAGACGGACCATCGCCAAGTCATGTCCTTCGTATTCCTCCTTCTGTCGTCTTTCCTCCCTCCTCTCCTCCTCCTTCCAAGATCACTTTTGTTACAATAGTCTCACCTCAGTCATCAGCGCAAGTACCCATCATCAACCTTCATTTAACTCATATGATTCATACGGCTACTGTACGACAATCTGAGTGGATGAAGCATTAGATACAGAATCAGACTTCGCAGATGGACCGATTAGAGCAAGTCTTGCAGAAACTGATGAGTGCAAACTCAAAAGCGCCATGCGTTAATCCTTCCCCTTCTTCGTATCTTTTACTGCTTGCTCCTTCTATGCAAACGCAAGTTGCTCTCCCTGCTGCCCCTTTACCTCACCAGGTTGGCGTTTTTCCTAGTAGAGTGGAGTGTTATAACTGCAAGAAGCCCGGACACTTCGCACGAGACTGTCCCCTTCCGAAGCGGAATGAAACCCCTCCTACGGCCACGCCTGTGACCATTAATCACGGACGAGTAGCTACGCTACTCGAGAGGACAGGAGAACTAGGAAATGGTTTCTCTTCTTCACTCCCTCTTATGCCTACAGAGATGGTTGCGTCGACTTTGGGGGCTTCCGCTGAAGTTACAGACATTGTTGATCCGACTGAATGTCTTCAGTTTGCAGGGTTGATTGAAGTTACTCTACCAGGTAAAGACGGGCATGAATGGGTGGAACGCAAATCGGAACCCGATCTTAAGTTCCGGACAGGAGAGATCGATGTCTTGCAAACGTTAAAAAATATAGACATTCGAGTCTCTGTTGCGGTTAGTCATCTCTTAACCATCTCTGAGACTGCAAATGATAACCTCCTTCAGTAATCTCAACAGAACCAGTAGCGATTCACATACCAGTGTGTTCAAAGAATGCTAAAGAAAAAGGAGGAGATGGTGGAACTAGCGTCTTCCACGTCCAAACCCAAAACTGTCATTAACCCTCCGGATAAACAGGAAGTGTCTGAGGTCACCCGTGTGGCAACGATTGCGTATGCGAAAAAATATAGCTTCATCCGTGTTTGACCAGTACTATGGAAAAGTATGGAATGTAATTGCAAGGTGTGGGAAAAATCGTTCAAATGACACCGTTAAAAAAAACGAACGATTAAACTTTATACTCCCCCTATCAGGGAAGGATTTATGTCTCGACTAATGAAGAAACCACGAACATCGTAGGGATGATTGAAAATGTCGCAGTCAAAATTGGTCGAGTGCGTGTGTTAGTAAATGCGTTAATAATTGATGTGCAATCATATTCTGTACTACTGGGACTGCCTTGGGCTATGAATGTTGGCGCACGTTTGCATTTCGATTCCAAACAACTCATTATAGCCTATACTTGAGGAAAACCATAGGGATGGTAGATAAAATAGTATGGGTAGGAATGATCGGGACAAGAGAAGAGATTGAACGAACCAGAGGATAATTTGTCGGAATGAGGGGACGGAGAATCTCTCCTTTACGAGGAAGGTGAATACAATGAGAGGGATTACGCGGAGCTTTTGGGGCATATGTCAATTGAAAAAGAGTAGAACGAGTTGGTTCAATTCTTTGTACAGGAAGTCGAGGAGGGATTCTGAATAGTTCCGCGAACTGCGCATTCCTTCTGTTCGAATACTGAAAGTACTAAGTTTAACTCTACCCCCTCTCCTCCATTATCCTTTCTTACTCTTACATACACTCAAATCTTTGCGGCATCTTTCCTCGGAGAACCAATACCGCAGATTGGAGATATGGCTAACCTTTTGGAACCCCCTCGTACTTCGTAAGAGGGAAAAGTTTCGTCGTGAAGAAGATACCAGCAGATGACGCACTATCTCGATCTCTCTGCTTCCTTGCCTCGACCTTTGCTTACGAAAGACGCAATGGTAGAATTGATTAAGAAAGATCCGGAGGCACCAATTAGTGACGTCCGGGGCCTGATGCAAGAGATGTCGAAACTAATGGATTGAAGATTGCGCCAAATACCATTGATCCTGAGATTGACACAGAAGGGAAGGAAACTGAAATGATCAATCTCGCGGAGTCACAAATGGTTGTCATTGTGTTCTAAGTCGGAACCAGCAGTTCAATGATTTCTAGCATAGAGGGAATGTGTCCGCTTGACCCTGATTGGTATGAAATCCAACTCGATATTTTCGGTACTAATCCAATGCCAATGGTCATAGTCTCTTATCATATTCCTAAAGAAGTACGGAAGTTTTTGAAAGATGTATTGCACGAATACATTGTGGTATTTAGTGTGCATTATCACGACATCGGTATGGCAAATGTAGTTGAGCATGAAATTATCACATGGAATCATCCGCCGATTAGTTGCACTCCATATCGATACTCCCTAGCGCAACGACTTATCGCGTTCCAGAGATTCAAGGAGTTAGAAGCTACCGAATGTCGATACCACGAATGGGCCTTTGTCATTTCCGATGGTGATTGTACTGAAGAAGATAAGAGGAATCCGGATTTATATCGACTATCAAAAATTGTATAATATCACGATTAAAGATGTTTACCCTCTTCCTCGAATTGATGAGTTGTTGAATGCTATTGGTTGTGCGCACGTTTTTAGCAAGTTTGAGGTTTGCCATGACTTTCATCACCTTCTCGTAAAAAAAAAAGACCGCCCGAAAATGACCTTCGTCCTTCTTGAAGGGATCTGGCAATGGATTCAATGCCCGATGGGTATTTGCAATGCACCAACTACATTTTAGCGCGCGATGAATATGGTTTTTTATAACTTCATGTGAAAAATGCAGCTGGTGCAAAATATTATTAATTACTGTGTAATTGTATACATGGATTATATTCTTATATACTCAAGCACATGCGAAGGATACATGGAACACATTGAGTGGATATTGCATGCGTTAAAAGACGCATGTTTCAAGGTGGCTCCCGAAAAATGTCAGCTCTTCCTTACGGATATTTTCTTTCTGGGCCACCTGGTTACTGATAAGGGATTGCAGCCAGAACCTAAAAAGGTGAAAGTTGTGTGGCACGCGCCCGTACCCATGTCGTTTACACAAGTTCGTGCATTTTTGGGACTAGTCTCGTATTACCAAAGGTTTATTAAGGGATTTGTGACAATTGTAGGACCCCTCACGAATCTGCTAAAACAAAAATCAGTCGTTGATCTGGAATCTCCTGTGCGATCAAGCATTTTGAGAACTCAAGGTGACACTGATTTTGACCCCTGTCCTTATGAGGTCGAACCTAGAAAAATATTTTATTCTCATCACCGATTGGCAGCCTGAGGCGATCTCGACGATCTTGGCCTGGATTGGAGCACATGGTAGAATATGCTTCCAAGATTGTAACCGTCTGCAAGAAAAACTATTATGCGCCAGCAGGAGAATGCTTTGCTGCGTTGTGGGGAATCAATCATTTCCTAGTGTACTTATACGACCGAAAGTTCACGTTGGTTACCGATCGCGAACAACTCCTAACCCTGAAGAAGTCGAAGGATTACTCGGTATGATGGGACAATGGGCTACCACGTTGCAAACCTTAAAATTTGACATTCGTCACCAATGACACAAACGACACGAAAACGCCGACGGGCTAACACGTGTGCATCGACCTGATAGAATCCCCGCAAGTGAAGAAGTGACCCCGTGGAACGATCCATAACCAAAGGGCAAGCCCAAGTACGGTGAGGTGGAAAATTTTCAGAAAGTTTGGATCTTCACTTATGAGAGATGGTTGACCCCTCTTCTCTCCCTGATCATTCTGTCCCCTCTCAAATCCCTGACCCTTTTTTTTCTCGGATCTTCCAAATAAATTATATTATTTTTGCACATGTATTTCACGAGTTTACTGAGTGGATTTTTACCCGCACGAGTCTAGATTTATTGATTGGGTAAACTTCGCCACATGCGTCAATCGTGCGCATAACACATGTATTCAATATCG